GGAGGCTGTCAGGAGCAGAACAACTTCAGGCCAGGAGTTCAAGACCAGCCTGGCCAATATAGCAAAACCCCGTCTTTAATTAAAATACAAAAATTAGCCAGGCATGGTGGCACACACTTATAATCCCAGCTACTCAGGAGGTTGAGGCAGGAGAATCACTTGAACACAGGAAGTCGAGGCTGCAGTGAGCTGAGAAGGCACCACTGCACTCCAGCCTGAGTGACAATGTGAGACCCTATCTCAAAAAAATAATAATAAAGAAAGAAAATGAAAAATGTATATGTGTGTATCCCGTGAGATAGAAGTCCAAATTCATTTCTTTTTTCTTTTTTTTTGAGACGGAGTCTCACTTTGTCTCCCAGGCTGGAATACAGTGGTGTGATCTCGGCTCACTGCAACCTCTGTCTCCTGGGTTGAAACAATTCTCTGCCTCAGCCTCCTGAGTGGCTGGGATTACAGGTGCCCGCCACCACACCTGGCTAATTTTTTGTATTTTTAGTGGAGACAGGGTTTCACCATCTTGGCCAGGCTGATCTTGAACTCCTGACCTTGTGATCAACCTGCCTTGGCCTCCCAAAGTGCTAGGATTATAGGCATGAGCTGCCGCGCCCAGCCCCAAATTCATTCATTTACACATGGATATTTAGTTGTCCTAGCACCATTTGTTCGTTTGTTGAAAAGATTATTTCCCACCCCCAACCCCCCTCCCTTTTTTTTTGAGCCGGTGTCTCCCTCTGTCACCCAGGCTGGAGTGCAGTGGCGTGATCTTGGCTCACTGAACCTCTGCCTCCTGGGTTCCAGTGATTCTCCTACCTCAGTCTCTCGGGTAGCTGGGACTACAGGCACACACCACCACACTCGGCTAATTTTGTGTTTTTCATAAAGATGGGGTTTCACCATTTTGGCCAGACTGGTATCGAACTCCTGACCTCAGGTGATCCATCTACCTCAGCCTCCCAAAGTGCTGGGATTACAGGCGTGAGCCACCACGCCCGGCCTCCCCACCTGTTTTTTTGAGACAGAGTCTCATTTTGTTGCTCAGGCTGGAGTACAGTGGCACCATCTCAGCTCATTGCAACCTCTGCCCCCCAGGTTCAAGCGATTCTCCTGCCTCAGCCTCACAAGTAGCTGGGACTACTGTCATGTGCTACCACGCCCAGCTAATTTTTGTATTTTTATTAGAGATGGGGTTTTGCCATAATGTCCAGTCTGGTCTCGAACTCCTGACCTCAAATGATCCTCCTACCTTGGCCTCCCAAAGTGTTGGTGTTACAGGCATGAGCCACACCTGACCGCCCAATTTTTTTTTTTTTTTTTTTTTTGAGACAGTCTTGCTCTGTCACCCAGGCTGGAGTGCAGTGAGTGGTGCAATCTCAGCTCACTGCATCCTCCACCTCATGAGTTCAAGTGATTCTTTTGCCTCAGCCTCCCAATAACTGGGATTACAGGGTACACCACCATGCCTGGCTAAATTTTGTATTTTTAGTAGAGATGAGGTTTCAGCATGTTGGCCAGGCTGGTCACAAACTTCTGACCTGAAGTGATCCACCTGCCTCAGCCTCCCACAGTGCTGGGATTACAGGCGTGAGCCACCGCGCCTGGCCCCCATTTGAGTTTCTTAGCATCTTATCAAATAGGAATTGTCCATAAATGTGAGAGTTTATTTCTGGACTGTCAATTCTATTCAATTGACTTATATATCTGTCTTTAAGCCAGTATCATACTTTCTTGGTTCCTGTATGTTTGTATTAAGCTTCCAAATTGTGCAGTGTGATTTCTTCAACTTTTTTCTTCTTTCTCAGGCATTGACTTTTTTTTTTTTTTTTAAGACGGAGTCTCGCTCTGTCACCCAGGCTGGAGTACAGTGGCTTGATCTCGGCTCACTGCAAGCTCCGCCTCCCGGGTTCATGCCATTATCCTGCCTCAGCCTCCCGAGTAGCTGGGACTACAGGCGCCCACCACCATGCCCGGCTAATTTTTTGTATTTTTAGTAGAGACGGGGTTTCACCGTGTTAGCCGGGATGGTCTCGATCTCCTGACCTCGTGATCTGCCCGTCTCGGCCTCCCAAAGTGCTGGGATTACGGGCATGAGCCACCACGCCCGGCATTTTTTTTTTTTTTTTTTTTTTTTTTTGAGACATACCTCCCTCTGTCCCCCAGGCTGGAGTGCAGTGGGTGGGATCAGGGCTCACTGTAGCCTTGACCTCTCTAGGATCAAGTGATCCTCCCACTTTAGCTTCCCCAGTAGCTGGGACTACAGGTGTGCACCATCATGCCTGGTCAATTTTTGTATTTTTGTAGAGACGGCGTTTCAGTATGTTGCCCAGGCTGGTCTCAAACTCCTGGGCTCAAGAGATCCTCCTGCTTTGGCTTCCCAAAGTGCTGAGTTTACAGGTGTGAGACACATTGCCCTGCTTGAATTTGTTGATTGCATCTCTATGATGTATTTGACATGTTCTTCTGTCCTTGTATTTGAGTCATTCAACAGTGTGATCTAATTTAGGGCCACTTTTACCGCAGGAATAATTTGCAGGTGGTGCGTGTGTTTCCAGAGTCAGAACGTGTTTGGTTTATGCTCTTGGTGATATTCAGTGCTATCAGTGATCCTCTCCTGGATCATTTTTTGATTAGAGGTGATTTGTGTTTTCAAAGGGTCCCTTGGGTTGCTGGGGGGTGTAGTGTGCATGAGCAACAGAGTTGTTGCAAGGACGGAGTCAGATAATCATGCAACAAAGCACTTGGTGCTATTCCTGGCACACAATGACCATATTGTTGTTGTTATTGTTAGAGCTGTAGGGGGGTACCCAAGTCCTGAGCTCAGAGGCATTTTCTGGCCAGGGCTATCTCCTCCCTTCTCCTCTGCCCCTGGAGAAGTCTGCAGTGCCCCAAAGCTCTGGGAGGCATGTTCAGGACTGCAGCAGCCATCTCTGTGCACCTGGTGGGGCCCCTTCGGGGAAGGAAGGCTGGAGCCCCACTCACCCGGTGCTTGCACCAGACTGTAAGTGCCCTAACCCCAATACTCTGCCACCTGCATGGCCTGGGGCTTCTGGGGTCTGGCTCGTTCCTGGATTCAAAGCTGTGCATGAGCCTTCTCTTTCAGGGGCCCTCTTTAACTGCAGCCTGGATGTGTGCTTCTCCCTTGCCCCTGCTTCTCTAGTCTAGAACTTGTAGCTCTGCATCTGAATAATCGGCTTGGGCGCTGTAGGGTGCTGCTTCCCATGATCCCCTGTGCCCAGCCCAGAACCCAGTACATGGTAAGGGCTCAATACATGTCAACTGAGCCAGGCGCGATGGGGTTCCTGGGCTATGGAAGACCTGGCGCTTACTCAAATGGTCCCCAAGGCCCTTTCAGGACAGGGGGGCCTGGTGTTGAGATGACTGTGGCTGCCACCCTGACCAGGTCCTTGCCAGCTTCTCCTCTGACCTTGGGCAGGTACCTGAGCCTCTTTGAGCCTCAGTGTCCTCATCTGTTAGATAGAGACTGTTGTGGCACCTCTGGTGAGAGTGCAGTGGGAACTGAGCGAGGTGGAACCGAGCAAAATCCTGAGCCAGGGTTCACTATTGGCCACAGCAGGCAGCTGAGAAGAATGTTGGATCCCTGGCTCCACGGCCCACCAGCCATCTGGGACTGGCAAACCCATAGGGACAGAAGGTTCCTCAGAGACCACAAAGCCCATACGAGGTCTCTGGTGTTGAAGGGATTCTGAGGACAGGAGGAGCCAAATTGCCTATCCAGGGTCACCCAGCCAAGGCGGGTTAGGACCTGAGTTTGGTGGCTCTCAGGTCTGGCCAGTTTCTTTCTTTCTTTTTTTTTTTTTTTTGATGGAATCTTGCTCTGTCACCCAGGCCGGAGTGCAGTGGCATGATCTTGGCCCACTGCAACCTGCGCCTCCCAGGTTCAAGTGATTCTCAGGCCTCAGCCTCCTGAGCAGCTGGGATTACAGGTGTGTGTCACGACGCCCAACTAAGTTTTTTTTTTTTTTTTCCAAACTGAGTTTCGCTCTAGTGCTCAGGCTGGAGTGCAGTGGCCTGCTCTCGCCTCACTGCAACATCCGTCTCCTGGGTTCAAGCGATTCCTGTGCCTCAGCCTCCCGAGTAGCTGGGATTACAGGTGCACGCCACCACGCCCAGCTAATTTTTGTATTTTTAGTAAGGATGGGATTTTACCATGTTGGCCAACTGGTCTCGAACTCCTGACCTCAGGTGATCTACCTGCCTCAGCCTCCCAAAGTGCTGGGATTACAGGCATGAGCCATTGCACCCAGTCCCTGGCCAGTTTCTGCACACCGGTGGCTGGGTAGGGAGCTGGTCTGGGAGGAACACTGGGAGGGGAGGGGGCGAGCCGGGAGCCAGGACCCTGGAACTCTCCCAGGACTGGATTAGTGCCTCCCTCAGAGTTAGGACATGGCCTTGGGTCCAACAGGCCTAAGTCTGAGTGGGTGTGTTGTGTGGCCTTAAACACATCACTCCCTCCCCTGCACCCTCCAGCCTGTTTTCCAACTCCTGTTTTCTCATTGATAAGATGGGCTTGGCCAGGTCATTCTGGGAATGAAATGGAAGTGCTTAGCAAGACCTCTGTAAGTGGAGGCTGCTGCTGTCACTGTTGCCATTATCCTCCCTTTCTGCTCCACTGACCTCCTGCTCTTCTTCCTTAACCCTCAGCCCTTCCTGAGTCAGACTAACCTGACCAAGTCAGGGCTCTGTCTCAGGACACGTGGAGCCAGGGCTGGAAGCCTCCACTGGACAGGCGCCAGGCAGCCCTTGCAGGTTGGGGAGGTGGAGGCTGCTGGAGTCGGGAGGAGCCAGGTGAGGGTGTTGGAACATAACAGGCTTGGGAGGCAGGCAGAAACCTGCCCTTCTGCGAGCTCTGATTTCTGCCCACTCCTGGGAGCAGACAGGGTAGGGCTGTGGCCTGAAAGCAGCTGTCCCTCCTTTGCGCAAGCCCGGACCCCTGCACCCAGACAGATTCCATCTCTGACCTTCCACTTGTTCGTCTCCAGCTCACCATGGCCAAACAGCTGCAGGCCCGAAGGCTAGACGGGATCGACCACAACCCCTGGTGAGCCAGCTGAGCTGGGGAGGTGTGTGGGTATCCCCTCGGGCATGGGTTGGCCATCTGTGGGTTCACAGCAACTCAGCAGTACCCCGGATGGTGGCGGTACACAGACTGCCAGATTCCAGCCACAGCTCAGGAGAGGCAGGGCCCGAGGGAGCAGGCTTGGTTCAAATCTCAGCTTTCTCCTGCATGACTGTGGCACTAGGACAGGTGACATACCTGCTCTGAGCCTCACATCCCCAGCTGCAAAATGAAGAATTATACCCACCTGGAGAGCATTGGGGAGGAGAAAGTGAAATGCCGTCCAAAGTCATTTACCCAGGCGCCAGGCTAAGCGCTTTCCAGGGATGACTTCCTTTCTCACTTGGTACAGAGTCAGATACCCTAAGATAAGTAAGATAAGCAAGTAAGATATAGTCGGATCTTCACTAGACATTTGCAGAGGTTAATATTGTTTTCTTTTTTGACTTGTTTTCTTTTCATTTTATTTTTGAGATGGAGTTTTGCTCTTGTCACCCGGGCTAGAGTGCAATGGCGCGGTCTTGGCTCACTGCAACCTCTGCCTCCCAGGTTCAAATGATTCTCCTGCTTCAGCCTGCCGAGTAGCTGGGATTACAGGCGTGCAACACAATGCCCAGCTAATTTTTTTTCTTTTTTTTCCCCCCAGATGGAGTCTCACTCTGTTGCCCAGGCTGGAGTGCAGTGGCATGATCTCGGCTCACTGCAACCTCCCCCTCACGGGTTCAAGCAATTCTCCTGCCTCAGCCTCCCAAGTAGCTGGGATTACAGGAGTGCGCCAACCACACCCAGCTAATTTTTTTTTTTTTTTGTATTTTTAGTAGAGAATGGGTGTCACCCTGTTGGCCAGGCTGGTCTCGAACTCCTGACCTTGTGATCCACCCGCCTCAGCCTCCCAAAGTACTGGGATTACAGGCATGTGCCACTGCGCCTGGCCCTAATTTTTATATTTTTAGAGAAGATGAGGTTTCACCATGTTGTCCAGGCTGGTCTCAAACTCCTGACCTCAAGGGATCTGCCTGCTTCGGCCTTCCAAAGTGCTGGGGAATACAGGCGTGAGCCACCGTGCCCAGCCAAAAATGACACATTTTAGACATATTTATTGGTATGCAAATTCAACTCAGCCAAGTCTTGACTCTGCTCCAAACTAGCCCCAAACCACATACCAGCCTCTTCATCCAGCTTCCCAGCCTTTCTCCCACCTAGAGAGGTGGCTACCAGGCAGAGCCAGAACAGAGGATTATGGGTCCAGAGATGATGTGTGTCTGGGATGGTGGGGCCCTGTTCTGCCCAGAGTAGGGTAAAGAGCATAAAACTTTGCTTGAGGTGGAAGTAGAAAGGCTGACTGGCTGTGCCTTGTACTAGCTGGGAGGCTTTAGGCAAGTCACTCCACTCCTTATCCCCACAGTGGTCTAGGAACAGGACGTGCCTCACAGGCCATTGTGAAGGTTGTATGAGCAGTGCATTTAACTGTGCTGTTGACAAATCCAAGGAGGAGTCATGCAATCGGTACAGGGAGTCTCAACTAGTATTTGGAAAGAATAGAGTAGGATAGGACAGGACAGGAAATACTGCAGTAGATTGCACCAAGAAGGATGAAGCTTCCATTCTATGTTTGTGGTGCACAGGGTTGATGATGCAAAGATGATTTCTTGGCCGGCTGTGGTGGTTCACGCCTGTACTCCCAGAACTTTGGGAGGCTGAGGCGGGTGGATCACCTGAGGTCAGGAGTTCGAGACCAGCCTGGCCAACATAGTGAAACTCTGTCTGTACTAAAAATACAAAAATTAACCAGGCATGGTGGCGGGTGCCTGTAATCCCAGCTACTCGGGAGGCTGAGGCATGAGAATCACTTGAACTCGGGAGGCAGAGGTTGCAGTGAGTTGAGATTGTGCCACTGTACTCCAGCCTAGGGGACAGAGCGAGACTCTGTCTCAAAAAAAAAGGGGGGGCCGGGCGAGGTGGCTCACGCCTATAATCCCAGCACTTTGGGAGGCCGAGGCGAGTGGATCATGAGGTCAGGAGATCGAGACCATCCTGGCCAACACGGTGAAACCGCCGTCTCTACTAAAAATACAAAAAATTAGCCAGGTGCAGTGGCGAGCACCTGTAGTCCCAGCTACACAGGAGGCTGAGGCAGAAGAATGGCGTGAAACCGGGAGGCGGAGCTTGCAGTGAGCCGAGATTGCGCAGCCTGGGTGACAGAGCGAGACTCCGTCTCAAAAAAAAAAAAAAAAAAGAAAGAAAGATGCTTTCTTCCTATGGGACATGGTGGAAGAACCTGGAAAGCCCCTGGGCTGACTCCTGTGATCATCAGTGTGCCTGACTGACTAATCTCAATACAGGGGACCAGCTGTGGCACTCAGGCAGTTCTTCAGGCTAGAATAGTCGCTGGTTTTCCAGTTTTTGTTTTTCTTGCGTGGGGTTTTTTTTTTTTTTTTTTTTTTTAGACGGAGTCTCACTCTTGTCATCCAGGCTGGAGTGTGATGGTGCGATCTCAGCTCACTTCAACCTCCAGTACCCGGGTTCAAGCGATTCTCCTGCCTCAGCCTCCCGAGTAGCTGGGATTACAGGCCCCCGCCACCATGCCCGACTAACTTTTATCTTTTTAGTGAAGACAGAGTTTCACCACGTTGGCCAGGCTGGCCTCAAACTCCTGACCTCAGGCGATCCGCCCACCTCGGCCTCCCAAAGTGCTGGGATGACAGGCGTGAGCCACCACGCCCGGCCAATTGTCCAGTTTTTCTAAACAGGCCAAAGTCCAGGTCACCATGTAGGGCTGGTCTGGTGCTGATTCTCCGTTTGTTACCCAGGGTGGAGTTTGTCAAACTGGCCAGTGAGCATGACGTCGTGAACTTGGGCCAGGGCTTCCCGGATTTCCCACCCCCAGACTTTGCTGTGGAAGCCTTTCAGCATGCTGTCAGTGGAGACTTCATGCTCAACCAGTACACCAAGGCATTTGTGAGTCTCCCCGTCTCCCTGGAGGCACTGGGGGAGGAAGGGGGTGGGGCTTTCTGGACATCAAGCCCACACAGGCGTCAGGCTTCAGGGGACAGAGCCAGGGGATTCTGTGTGACCATAGTTCAGTGTTTACTGAGCGTGTCCTCTGTCCCAGAGCCTGTGCCTCATGGTCTAGTGGGGATGGCAGACAAGAAACCAGTAACGACAGGCAGTGGATATGTGCCGTGATGGAGGAGGATGGGATACCACGGGAGTGAGAAAGAGGGAATGAAACCTGGGGATGGGACTGGAGAGATGCGCTAAGACTTCCTGGAGGAGGTGACACTTAAACCAAGTCCTGAAAGACAAGCTACTATTTGGATTACACTCTAAATCCAAACTTTTTCCGGAAAGGACCACGTAGTAAATACGTGACAGTACTTGGATTAGAACTGTGGTTCTTTTTTTCTTTTTCTTTTTTGAGACAGGGTCTCACTTTGTTATCCAGGCTGGAGTGCAGTGGCGCGATCATGGTCCACGGCAGCCTCGACCCTGCCAGGCTCAAGTGGTCCTCCCACCTCAGCCTCTGGAGTAACTGGGACTACAGGTGTGCGTCACCATGCCCAGCTAATTTTATTTATTTATTTATTTATCTTTGAGTCAGGGTCTCACTCTTGTCACCTAGGCTAGAGTGTAGTGACATGATCACGGCTTACTGCAGCCTCTACCTCTTGCGGCTCACATGATATGTCATTTCCTGGGGCTCATGTGATCCTCCCACCTCAGCCTGTAGAGTTGCTGGGACAACATGGGTACGCCACCTCGCCCAGCTAATTTTTATTGTATTTTTTGTAGAGACAGGGTTTCACCATGTTGCTCAGACTGGTCTCAAACTCCTGGGCTCAAGTCATCCTGCCACCTCAGCCTCTGAAAGTGCTGGGATTACAGGCGTGAGCCACTGCGCCCTCGTTTTTTTTTTTTCTTTTTTTTTTTTTGAGACAGAGTCTCCCTCTGTCACCAGGTTGGATTGCAGTGGCGCAATCTCAGCTCACTGCAACCTCCGCCTCCCACGTTCAAGAGATTCTCCTGCCTCAGCCTCCCAAGTAGCTGGGACTATAGGCGTGTACCACCACGCCCAGCTAATTTTTGTACTTTTAATGGAGATAGGGTTTCACGATGTTAGCCAGGATGGTCTTGATTTCTTGACCTTGTGATCCACCCACCTGGGCCTCCCAGAGTGCTGGGATTACAGGCGTGAGCCAATGCACTCGACCGCACTCATTCTTTTTAATGGCTGCATACTGTTCTGTTGCCTAGATGTGCTGTAATGTATTTAAGCATCCCTGCACTGATGGACTGCTTCTGCTGTCTCAGTATCATAAGCAGTGCCACGGCGAATTTCCCTGTGTGGACATCTTTGTATACATGTGCATTTCTCTAAGACAAATTCCTAGAAGTAAAACTAGCGAATGAAAGGCTATAAATATTTATAAATACAATAGGTGGATATTGTTATAGTGTGTGCCTGTAATCCCAGCTACTTGGGAGTCTGTGGCAGGAAGATCGCTTGAGCCCAGGAGTTTGAGGCCAGTGCAACATAGTGAGATCCTGTCTCAAAAATTAACACCTAAGTAAATGATTGCCTTCCAGTAAGGTTTACTCATTTACATCCCTGCCAATAGGCTGGTCTCAGAGTTGGTTGTAAAGTTCCTTCTTTGATCCAAAAAAAAAAAAAAACCACATCTGGATATGTATCTTTTTCTTGCTGCTTTTTCTTTTCTTTCTTTTTTCTTTTTTTTTTTTTAATGGAGACAGGGGCCGGGCATGGTGGCTCACGCCTGTAATCCCAGCCTTCTGGTAGGCTGAGCCTGGCAGATCACCTGAGGTCAGGAGTTCAAGACCAGCCTGGCCAACATGGTGAAACCCTGTCTCTAATAAAAATTAGCCGGGTGTGGTGGCGGGCGCCTGTAATCCCAACTACTTGGGAGGCTGAGGCACAAGAATCGCTTGAACCCGGGAGGTGGAGGTTGCAGTGAGCTGAAGTGGCGCCATTGCACTCCAGCCAGGGTGACAACAACAACAACAACAACAAAATAGAGACAGGGTCTCCTTATGTTACCCAGGCTGGGCTCAAGCAATCCTCCCACCTTAGCCTCCCAAAGTGCTGGGATTACAGGCATGAGCCACTGTGCCCAGCCTCATTAAATATGTTAACCTCTTTCTTTTATGTTGCAATATTTCTCTCTTCCTGTTTTAACTTTGCTCATGGTGCCTTTTATTTTTATTTAATTAATTAATTTATTGTCTGAGACAGAGTCTCAATTCTATTACCCAGACTGCTGTGATCATAGCTCACTGCAGCCTTGATCTCCTGGGCTCAAGCAATCCTCCTGCCTCAACCTCCCGAGTACCTGGGACGACAGGCATGTGACATCACACCTGGATAATTTTTTGATTTTCCATCAGTAGAGACGGAGTCCCTCTGTGTTGCCCAGGCTGTTCTCAAACTCCTGGCCTCAAGCAACCCTCCTGCCTCATTCTCCAAAAGTGCTAGGATTACAGGGGTGAGCCACTGTGCCTGGCCTGTGCCTTTTGTTGTACAGAAAATTTTTATTTTTGTGTGGCCAAATCTGGTTTAGTGAGTTACTGAGTTAAGTTCTAGACAAGGTTTTGATCACTTGGCTTAGCCTTGAGTATTTTTGTTTTGTTTTGTTTGTTTGTGTTTTTTTTGAGACAGAGTCTCGCTCTGTCGCCCAGGTTGGAGTGCAGTGGTGCGATCTCGGCTCACTGCAAGCTCCGCCTCCTGGGTTCACACTATTCTCCTGCCTCAGCCTCCCGAGTAGCTGGGACTACAGGTGCCTGCCACCACGCCCGGCTAATTTTTTGTATTTTTAGTAGAGACGGGGTTTCACTTTGAGTATTTTATAAGTGTCCTCAGCAAACAAGTTTCTGGATCTAATCTTCCTCTCAAAAAGGGGTGCTTCCAAAGCTGCAACATGAGGTTCCTGACCCTCAACTGTGTGTGACTTTAGACAAGTAATTTCTTTTCTCTGGGTCTCTATTTTTCTACCTGTCAAATAGTGGGGATCAGGCCAGGCGCGGTGGCTCACATCTGTAATCCCAGCACTTTGGGAGGCTAAGGCAGGCGGATTACCTGAGGTCAGAAGTTCAAAACCAGCCTGGCCAACATAGTGAAACCCTGTCTGCACTAAAAACACAAAAATTAACCGGGCATGGTGGCGCGTGCCTGTCGTCCCAGCTACTTGGGAGGCTGAGGTAGGAGAATCACCTGAACCCAGGAGGCGGAGGTTGCAGTGAGCCACAATTGTGCCATTGCACTCTAACCTGGGTGACGTGAGTGTGACCCCGTCTCAAAAAAAAAAAAAAAAAAAGCCTCTCCTGCAAAGCTGCTGGGAGGATCAGGTGGGAACAAACATGACAAACATGCTTCTTAAACTTAGAGATGTGGAAAGTGGGGAGTTTCTACTGCCTCGCGGGCTCTTGGACTGAGGTTCATGGAGGCAAACACTTCCTCTGGTTCTCTGCTGAATCCCCACCCTGGGCTCCGGGCCTGGCACAGAACAGGCGCTGTGGCAAATGCTGGTGGAGGAGATGGAAGAGCGTATATCTGAGTCAGTGCAGGCCTGGTGGTTGGGACCCTGGAGTCTGGGACCATATAGATTGTGTAACCTTTACCTCCCAGAGTACACAGGATCACAATAGCACCTGCCTCTGGGTTGCTGAGAGGATGAGATCAAAGAAATCCCACAAATAGCTTGGTGTGTAGAGAAATCCAGAGTGTTGAAAGCTAATCTATTCCATGTCCCCTGGGGCCCAGGCTACCAGTATCTGACTTTGCCCCAGGCTTGCTGCTGGAAGGTGCTAGAACTGCCTGGATACAGCTGGGCAGGAGGATGGGCCCGGCTGAGCTGGACAGTTGACCCCCGCTGTCCTGGCAGGGTTACCCACCGTTGACGAAGGTCCTGGCAAGTTTCTTTGGGAAGCTTCTGGGTCAGGAGATGGACCCGCTCAGGAATGTGCTCGTGACTGTCGGTGGCTATGGGGCCCTGTTCACAGCCTTCCAGGCCCTGGTGGACGAAGGAGATGAGGTGAGTGGGCAAGACTTGGGCTGAGTGGGACCGAGAGGTCAGGGCCGTGCTGACTGCAGCTGATTTGAACCTTCTATCAGGTCATCATCATCGAACCCTTTTTTGACTGCTACGAGCCCATGACAGTGATGGCGGGGGGCCGCCCTGTGTTTGTTCCCCTGAAGCCGGTAAGGATGCTAGGTAGAGGATGGATGGGCAGAGGGATCCAAGGCATGGGCGGAGTTGGACCCTGGGCGTTGGAACAGGAGGAAGGAAGTGAAGGAAGCCAGTTCCCCTAAGCTGAGAGGACAGAGGGGAGGTGTGTGTGTTGGGATCCCAGGGGAGAGAAGGTGGGGATGGATGCTGGGGGAAGAGCTGCACGTCAGGTGAGTAAGTGGTGCCGCCCCTGCCACCTTGCAGGGTCCCATCCAGAACGGAGAACTGGGTTCCAGCAGCAACTGGCAGCTGGACTCCATGGAGCTGGCCAGCAAATTCACATCACGCACCAAAGCCCTGGTCCTCAACACCCCCAACAACCCCCTGGGCAAGGTACTGGAGGGACCTCCTTCCCTGGCCGCCCGCAGAGCTAGTCATGTCTCCTGCACCGTTACTGAGTTGCTGCTGTGGGGCCTTCGTGTGGGAGGGCCACACACAATGAGCTCTGAGGACCAGGGCTCCAGAGGTCCCAGGACAGGGGCAGGAATACCCAGGGAAGGCCTGAGGGCTGGAACAGTGAACTGGGCTGGGAGCCCCCATCACTTCCCAGTGACCATGGAATAGTGACTCTGCTTCTCAAAGTATCTCATGTGTAACGTGGGAACCTGAGGGAACTGACCTCGTGGGTCATTGTTGCAGGGATCCAGTGCAATGGTACGGAACAGCCCATAGCACTGGGCTTGGCTGTATTCGCCATTTACTCATTTTTTCGAGACAGAGTCTCGCTCTGTCTCCCAGGCTGGAGTGTAGTGGCGTGATTTTGGCTCATTGCAACCTCCGCCTCCTGGGTTCAAGCAATTCTCCTGCCTCAGCCTTCCAAGTAGCTGGGATTACAGGCACCTGCCAACATGCCCAGCTAATTTTTGTGTTTTTGGTAGAGACGGGGTTTCTCCATGTTGGCCAGGCTGGTCTCAAACTCCTGACCTCCAGTGTTCTGCCCGCCTTGGCCTCCCAAAGTGCTAGGATTACAGGCTTGAGCCACCGCACCTGGCCGCAGCTGTGTTCTTTAACCTCTCTGAGTAGGCCTCTGTGTTTGGGGATGGTCTCAGCTGCAGGTCTGGGCTCTCCTTGGGCATCCGCAGGTGTTTTCCAGGGAAGAGCTGGAGCTGGTGGCCAGCCTGTGCCAGCAGCATGATGTGGTGTGTATCACTGATGAAGTCTACCAGTGGATGGTCTACGATGGGCATCCTCACATCAGCATTGGTGAGCCAAGCCTGCCCAGGGCCCCTCCCCTGCACATGGTGGCAGGGCCTTGACCCCACCTGAGAGTCAGCGCAGGCCTGGTAGTTAGAACCCAGGGTTCTGGAGCCCTGCAGATCCTGTGACCTTTGCCTCCCAGAGTACACAGGAAAACAAAAAACAATAGCATCTGCCCCCCTGGTTGTCGAAAGGATGAGGTCAAAAGATTACAGGCTCACGTCTGTAATCCCAGCACTTTGGGAGGCTGAGGCTGGCAGATCACTGGAGGTCAGGAGTTCGAGACCAGCCTGGCCAACATGGTGAAATCCCGTGTCTACTAAAAGTACAAAAATTAGCTGGGCATGGTGGTGCGTGCCTGTAGTCCCAGCTACTCAGGAAGCTGAGGTAGGAGGATCACTGGAACCCGGGAGGCGGAGGTTGCAATGAGCTGAGATGGTGCCATTGCATTGCTGCCTGGGCAACAGAGCGGAACTCCATCTCAAAAAAGAACGAAAGAAAGAAAGAAATTCTGCAAATAGCTTAGTATGTAGAGGAGTCCAGGATGTCAAGAGCCTATGGGTGCCCCCTGGGGCCCAGACCACCACCCTTCCCCTTACCCCTCACCCCAGTCTCAGCAGCTGCTCTGTTCGGCCTTGGGCAGCCAGCCTCCCTGGCATGTGGGAACGGACCCTGACCATCGGCAGCGCCGGCAAGACCTTCAGCGCCACTGGCTGGAAGGTGAGTTGCTGAGGGTGGGAGGTCACCAGCCCCTGCAAGATCCTTGGCAAGTGAGGTGGGCCTGGGAATGAAGAAGGCTTTAGCCAGGCCTGGAAGGACCTCCCCCACTACCTGTGCTCCTGCTCCAGGTGGGCTGGGTCCTGGGTCCAGATCACATCATGAAGCACCTGCGGACCGTGCACCAGAACTCCATCTTCCACTGCCCCACGCAGAGCCAGGTGAAGAGGGCAGGGGACGCCATGGGGGAGCAGGGAGGCAATGAAAGAGCCGAGGCTGGCCCCCGCGTCAGGGAACAGCTCATCTGTCTGGGTGTCTGTCTGCCCTGCCTAGGCCGCAGTAGCCGAGAGCTTTGAGCGAGAGCAGCTGCTCTTCGGCCAACCCAGCAGCTACTTTGTGCAGTTCCCGCAGGCCATGCAGCGCTGCCGGGACCACATGGTACGCAGCCTGCAGTCAGTGGGCCTGAAGCCCGTTGTGCCCCAGGGCAGCTACTTCCTCATCACAGACATCTCAGACTTCAGTGAGTGAGACTGGCCGCTCTGGGCAGGGCGCAGGGGCTGGAGGCTGCAGGGGGCTCAGTGTGGCCTCTGTCTCCCAGAGAGGAAGATGCCTGACTTGCCTGGAGCTGTGGATGAGCCCTATGACAGACGCTTCGTCAAGTGGATGATCAAGAACAAGGTGGGCTGGGCCTCTGCCGTGCAGCCATGTATGGTTTCACAGGTTGTGTGCTGCTCAAGGGTGCCCAGGCAAGAGGCTCCTGGGCCAGATCCTAGTCTGCCTCTGCCGTGAACCTTGGGGCAGGGTTGTATCCACTTAAAAGAACGAGGAGCCTTTTTTCTCTTTTCTTTTCTCTTCTCTTCTCTTCTCTTTCACCTTTCTTGAGACGGAGTCTCGCTCTGTCGCCCAGGCTGGAGTGCAGTGGCACGATCTCGGCTCACTGCAAACTCCGCCTCCCAGGTTCACGCCATTCTCCTGCCTCGGCCTCCTGAGTAGCTGGGACCACAGACGCCTGCCGCCACGCCCAGCTAATTTTTTTTGTATTTTTAGTAGAGATGGGGTTTCACCGTGTTAGCCAGGATGGTCTTGATCTCCTGACCTTGTGATCTGCCTGCCTCGGCCTCCCACAGTGCTGGGATTACAGGAGTGAGACACCGCGCCCAGCATTTTTTTTTTTTTTTTTTTTTGAGACAGTCTCACTCTGTCGCCTAGGCTGGAGTGCAGGGGCGCAATCTCAGCTCCCTGCTACCTCCACCTCCAGGGTTCAAGTGATTCTCCTCCCTCAGCCTCCCAAGTAGCTGGGTAGCTGGGATTATAGGCACGTACCACCACGCCTGGCTAATTTTTGTATTTTGTAATTTTGTAGAGACAGGGTTTCACCATGTTGGTCAGGCTGGTCTCCAACTCCTGACCTCAGGTGATCCACCCCACTTGGCCTCCCAAAGTGCTGGGATTACAAGCGTGAGCCACCGCGCCTGGCCCAAGGAACCTGTTTCTCACTTGCACAGAGAGACTGTGTGGGCTGGCAGGATTTCCTGCCTCTTTGGATCTCCGTCTTCCCGTCTGTACAGTGAGGAGCTGGACCATTCACTCTGAGGTCCGTCCAGGTTCGATCTGTGACTCTATGGCTTTGTTCTTCTCTGGCTCTGCCCTGACCTGCTCCGTGAACTTCCCTCTCTCAGCGTCTGTCTGCCCTCTATACCCAGGGAGGCACTTGGAATGGCCTTCTGGGATCCTTTTCCTCTGACTTTGTGTTTGTTTTTGTTTTGAGACGGATTTTCTCTCTTTCACCCAAGCTGCAGTGAAGTGGCGCAGTCTCAGCTCACTGCAACCTCCACCCCTGGGTTCAAGCAGTTCCCCTGCCTCAGCCTCCCAAGTAGCTGGGATTACAGGCACGCGCCACAGCGCCCAGCTAATTTTTGTATTTTTAAGAGATGGGGTTTGGCCATGTTGGCCAGTTAGTCTCGAACTCCTGACCTCAGGTGATCCACCCATCTCAGCCTCCCAAAGTGCTAGGATTACAGGCGTGAGCCACCACGCCCGGCCTTTTTCCTGTGACTTTGATGCAGCACTAGGTACGGGATTGGAGCTAACTCTCCTTCCCCGCCTGATTGTGGGAACCTGTCTGTCCCCTCCGGGGCCAAGGCCTGCTGGGCCACGAAGCCGTGTTGAGACATGTCCTTCCTCCTCCCCAGGGCTTGGTGGCCATCCCTGTCTCCATCTTCTGCAGTGTGCCACATCAGAAGCACTTTGACCACTATATCCGCTTCTGTTTTGTGAAGGTAAAGGGCGGGGCTGGGGGAGGAGAGACCTCCCAGAGCTTCCCAAGGCCTGCTGGGGGCATGGGGAGAGTGTGGGACTAATCTGTGCTGGTGCAGGATGAAGCCACGCTCCAGGCCATGGACGAGAAGCTGCGGAAGTGGAAGGCGGAGCTCTAGCCCTGAAGTCACACCTTGGCCCTGACATCCCCACCTGCCCGCAGAGATACTCTTGGGTGTCTGTCTTTGTCCAGGTTTCAGACATTTCCGGGTCGGGGAAGATGCTGTTGGGAAACCTCTTCTCTGTGACACAGAATGTTCTGGGTGGGAGCCGCCCTTCTTCATCTTAGAGAACCAAGTGCCTCCTGTCTGAAAGGTGAGGGCGGCCTGACCTGGGCCTCTCTCGGCCCCTCTGTAGGTGGGTTTGTCGGGTCTTGGGTTACTTCTGGTCTCTCCAGGCTTGGCCGAGACCGACGGTAGAGTCCCACCGTGTATCGATCACATCCCAGCCCTGCATGGGCCCTGCTAAGGCTCAGGCATCACCTCACCTTTCCTGGTTCATCTCGGCCTTGGGGATTTGCCTTTAGACTTGAGTGCTCAAGCCACTCCTTTTCATCCATAATAAAATGTTTAAGTTATTCAAATCCTTCTTGACATTTTCTCTCTGTTTCACACTCGAGCTGATGGCTGATCTAACTTGATAAGAATGCCCAGGAGAACCTCAGACACCCCCACAACTTTGTACAAATGATTTCTATAGTCACATAGTTAGTGGCACAACCAGGCCTAGAACCCAAGGCCCCCAAATGAATTCCTTACTATTAATCTTTTTTGTTTTTGTTGTTTTTGTTTTTTAGACAGAGTCTCACTCTGTCACCCAGGCTAGAGTGCAGTGGCATGATCTCGGCTCATTGCAACCTCCAGCTCCCGGGTTCAAGCAGTTCTGCTGCCTCAGCCTCCTGAGTAGCTGGGACTATAGGCACCTGCCACCACACCCAGCTAATTTTTGTGTTTTTGTAGAGATGGGGTTTCACCATGTTGGCCAGGCTGATCTCAAACTCCTGACCTCAGGTCATCCACCTGACTCGGCCTCCCAAAGTGCTGGGATTATAGACGTGAGCCACCATACCTGGCCTCTCATATTAATCTGATGGTAGCAGTTATTGGTGCTGGGTGTGGTGGCTTGGGGGTGTGTGTGTGTGTGTGTGTGTGTGGAGGGGATTGGGGCTTGTGACAAGGAAGACATGGACATTCCCACAGGGGTGAGAGAACAGCACAGTGGGGGCCAGGAGGACCCGGGACTTAAATAATTCTCAGGAGGAGGAGGACTGAATGTTGATCGTACACGCCCTACCTGCCAGGCACTCGGACGCACATTATCTTACACAACCCTCTGAGACTGAGACCTGAGTTATCTCCAGTTCACAAGTGAGGAAAGCCCTCTGGAGGTGAGGTGAAGTGGTGTGCCCAGGCCAGGCCTTCTAGCTGGCTCCGATTGAGTCTCACTGGATAGCAATAGTAGCTCCTGAATTTCTTTGGAAGGTGGTGTTAGGGGCCTGGTCTCGAAGTTGCATTTGCATAGCAGGCACATGGGTTTGGCTCATATCATGTTTAACTGGGTGAGCTGATAGGAATATATCTTATAATAAAATACATATTAGGTCTTTGTCCCTGGTCCTTAGTAAAGAATTCCTAAAATCCTTGGAGTTTCTGGAAGATAGGCATGTCGTGTTAGTCACATGGAATCTCTCTGCACTGTGCCATTACAGAGTCAGAACTTTTAGCCCATTGGGCCCCCTCCATCTCTGCCTCCAGGGAGGTGCGAGGGACTAGACTTTGAGCCCAATCACATGGTCTGTGTCTTTTTGTTAATCGTTTTTTGGGGGGGATTTTTGTGTTAGTTTTTTCACATGGCCAATGTCTTAGTCATGCCTACAAAATAAATCTGTCAAAAATCACAACAAATTTATTATAAGATCTAAGTTCGAGACCGGGCACGGTGGCTCACACCTGTAATTCCAGCACTTTGGGAGGCCGAGACAGGTGGATCATCTGAGGTTGGGAGTTCAAGACCAGCCTGACCAACATGGAGAATCCCATCTCTACTAAAAAATACAAAAATTATCCGGACTTGGTAGCAGGCGCCTGTAATCCCAGCTGCTTGGGAGCTTGAGGGAGGAGAATTGCTTGAACCCGGGAGGCAGAGGTTGCAGTGAGCAGAGATCATGCCACTGCACTTCAGCCTGAGCAACAGTGAGACTAGATCTCAAAAAATAAAAGGCATTAATGACTCATGTCTATAATCTCGGCACTTTCGGAATCCAAGTTGAGAGGATTGCTTGAACCCTGGAATTTGAGACCAGCCCTGGCAACATAGTGAGACACTGTACAAAAAGAAAAAAAAAAAAATTAGTCTGGCATGGTGACTCACACTTGTAGTCCCAACTAATATAGTCTGTTAATTAAAAGAGAAAGAGGCTAGGTGCGGTGGCTCATTCCTGTAATCCCAGCACTTTGGGAAGCCGAGCTGGGTGGATCACCTGAGGTCAAGAGTTGGAGACTAGCCTGACCAACATGGAGAAACTCCGTCTCTACTAAAAATACAAAATTAGCCAGGTGTGGTGGCGCATGCCTGTGATCCTAGCTACTCGGGAGGCTAAGGCAGGAGAATCGCTTGAACCCAGGAGTCAGAGGTTTCCGTGAGCCGAGATCACGCCATTGCACTCCAGCCTGGGCAACAAGAGCGAAACTCTCAAAAAAACAAAAAAAGAGGCCAGGTGCAGTGACTCACTCCCATAATTCCAGCCCTTTGGGACGCCGAGGCGGGTGGATCACTTGAGGTCAGGAGTTCAACCAGGTTGGTCAACATGGGGTCAACATCAACCCCATCTCTACTAAAAACACACAAAAAATTAGCTGGGCATGGTGGCACGCTCCTGTAATCTCAGCTACTTGAAAGGCTGAGGCAGGAGAGTTGCTTGAACCCAGGAGGTGGAGGTTACAGTGAGCCGAGATCGCGCCATTGCACTCCAGCCTGGGCAGTGAAGCGAGACTCTGTCTCAAAAAAAAGGAAGAGCACATGAACGAATCTACAAGAAACCTGGATTAAATTATCTCATTTTCAGCTCCAAATCACACTGCAGCTCAAGGCCCCGGGGTCCCCATGTATAAAGCGTTACAGGAGCTAGGCGTGGTGCTGCGCACCTGTGGTTCCAGCTACTCGGAGGCTAAGGTGGGAGGATTCCTTCAGCCCAGGAGCTCAAGTCTGCAGTGAGCTAGAATCGCGCCACTGCACTCCAGCCTCGGCAACAGAGCGAGACCGTGTCTCAAAAAAAATTTTTTTAACAAATAAACTACTCAGAGATCTGAGTGTTGTATTTGTCCCAACTCAGAGCCATCCAAAATTCTGGACAGTACCCGTGATGCCGCCCATTTGGACACCTATTCCCCCCAACCTACACCAGCCCGTGTACTCCTGCAACAGTCTGGCGCCCAGGCCACGCCCCCGGGCGACATTGGCTTTCCGATTGGACAACTTAATGGAGGTGTGGCCGGAAGAGGCGAGTCTCATTGGCAGAGGCGTGACCGACGGTGTGTGCGGAACATGGCGGAGCGCGGGAGGAAGCGGCCGTGCGGCCCGGTAAGTGCGGGCGGCGGGACCCCGCGCAGGGCAGCACGGGGAAGGCGTGAGAACCAGTGGCGTGCGGACCTCCGCCGGGACCGGGCCGCGCCTCCTGCTGCCTGCTTCCCGCTGATCCCAGGCCGGAAGCCCCCGAAGGTGCGGCGTGAGCCGCAGCAGGATGGGAACAGCGCCTGTGTCCTCTCCGGAACCCCCCTGCGGCTCCCTGGCCCCCGCTGGATTACGGAGGCGGGACCCTGCTCTCAATCCTGAATCCGGTGCCCTTTCGTGGCTTATGTCTTCTGACTTCCAGGGCGACTGTGGGCAGCCCTGTCCCCTGAGACTCAGTTTTCTCCTCTGTTCTGTGGGAACTCATTCAACAGTTTCTTGAGCGCTTTCTGTGTGTCAGGCTGGGCCCCAGGCGCTGGGGATACAGCGGGTCCCTGCCCTCCAGACGCTTTCTGGGGCAGCAGTTTGCAGAGGTTCCTTGGCTTCCTTGCCCCCGCCGTGTGGAGGGGCTGGCTGTGGTGCAGCAAACGGACCCCCTCCAGGTGTGACCATCAGCCTCACACTCATAATCCTCCTACCACTCCTTCTCCAGGGTGAACACGGCCAAAGGATTGAGTGGCGAAAATGGAAGCAACAGAGTAAGTAAGGGTGGGGGTAAGAGTATCTTCCCATAGACCACTCCACCAGTGCTCAAACCCTGGAGAAAGACACCAACTTTGTTCCCTCTGGGTCCTGCAGCACCCAAAGTGGGGAGGCAGGGTCCGGGAGCCCTGGGGAGGCTCCCTTGCTGCCCTCTGGCTGCTCACCCAGTAGCTCTCCATAGTCCAGGCTGACCCAATGAGTGGGAACTATCTCCTCGGCCAATTGGGATGTTCTTTTATCCAGAGAAAGAGGAGAAAAAGAAATGGAAGGATCTCAAGCTCATGAAAAAACTGGAGCGGCAGCGGGCACAGGAGGAACAGGCAAAGCGCCAGGAAGACGAGGAGGCAGCAGCAGAGAAGGAGGACCGCGGTGAGCTGGGGTCATGGGGAGGGCCACAGGTTGTGGCCCACAGTAGTTGTCCTGGAGGCAGAGCAGATCTGGAAGGGCCCTTACAGACCAGTAGGTCCAAACATCTTGTCCTGATGGAGAAGCTGAGGCCCAGAGAAGGGAGGGAGCCAACAAACTTAGTTCTGACCTCCTGCTTAGGTAAATTTCAAGCCTATGGAAGGTAAGCCTCATCTCTCTTTTTTTTATTTGAGATGGAGTCTTGCTCTGTTGCCCAGGCTGGAGTGCAGTGGCACCATCTCCTCTCACTGCAACCTCCACTGCCCAAGTTCAAGCAATTCTCCTTCCTCAGCCCCCCGAGTAGTTGGGATTACAGGCGTGTGCCACCACACCTGGCTAATTTTCGTATTTTTTAGTAGAGATGTGGTTGCACCATGTTGGCCAGGCTGGTCTTGAACTCTTGACGTCAGGTGATCCGCCCAATTCACGTCCCAAAGTGCTGGGATTACAGGCGTGAGCCACCGTGCCCAGCCCAAGCCTCATATCTCTTAGACCTCTAGAACTTCATGATCTTCCTGATTTTTTGACTTTTTTATTGAGCATTTTCTGTGTGCTTTAATTTCATTTTTCATTTATTTTGATTTCATAATAAAAATGACAGATCATGCCTGTAATCCCAGCACTTTGGGAGGCCAAGGCGGGCAGATCACGAGGTCAGGAGATCAAGACCATGGTGAAACCCCGTCTCTACTAAAAATACAAAAAATCAGCCGGGCGAGGTGGCAGGCGCCTGTAGTCCCAGCTACTCAGGAGGCTGAGGCAGGAGAATGGCGTGAACCCAGGAGGCGGAGCTTGCAGTGAGCCGAGATCACGCCACTGCACTCCAGCCTGGGTGACAGAGCCAGACTCTGTCTCAATAATAATAATAATAATAATAATAACAATAACAGAAAACTACAGAGAAGAAAGGAATAAGCCCAGCAAACATTGTAGCAAAAGTTTGTCCAAACAATTATATCTACTTATCCTTGCCT